AGTTACTACTGTAACTATTCTCATTACCCTGCAGCCAATACCCTTGGTTCTAACTCTTACATCAGAGCTCCCTGGGCTCAGGGGGAGCTCTGGTGCTATTGAATGTCTTAGACTTGGAGTAGGCTGAGAAGTGAATATCAACGTACTTTCTCATTATATGGAATGTAAAAAAAGACAAAGAGGATTAACCTTCCAAAGAGACAGAGAAACTTTTTCATTATTGAACTTTTCTAATCCTATAATCAAGAATAGAATTCTAGTATAGAAAATTAAGATAAATCATCCTGGAATCAGAATGAGTGTGGGAGAAACCTTAATACAGTTGCCTCACCCACTTTAGTAAATAGGTGATTATTAGGAGTCACTGAAAAAGGATAATGAGTTTCCTGGGCCCCTAGAGGAAGTGAAAATCCTCTTGGAAATATGGTGAATTACTTTAGAAAGGTTTTATAATAATTACAAAATATAATTCAAAAACTTAAAAAAAAAAAACCCCAGCCTATGCCAGGCACTGTGCTAGGCAACAGACTATGTAGTGGAGGGCAAGGAAAATATAGTTGCTGCTTCACAGGGTTTATTCCAATGGTTAAAAAGAGATAAGGAAAAAAAAAAAAGAAAAGAAACAATATGGAATAATAGACAAGGATAAGTGCTATGGGGCAAACCACCGGCTGGGGGCAGCCGTGGTGAGGAACAGTATATGGATGGAGTAATCAAAGAAGGCCTCTGAAAAGGTAAAAAGGGCCAGCCGTGTTGAAGGGTGGAGAGAATCATTTCCGACAGAGAGAATAGTAGGATCAATAGCTCCAAGGCAGGACAATTTAGAGATGTTCTTGGAATTGAAGTCAGGTTGGTATATTCAATCAAGGATGAAGGTAGAATCAGATGAGGTTAGGAAGAAAAAGGGGGCCTGACAAAGCAAGGCCTGATTACCAGGTGAAATGGGAAACCATCAGATGGTTTGCAGCTTAAGAGTGACAGGAACAAATTTGTATTTTCAAACATGGCTGTAGAATGACTTGTTTGGAGAGGGTCGGTGAGGAGGAGAGGAGCCAGTTGGAAAGCCGCTGTTATATTTCTGATAGCAGATAGATGATGGAGGCTTAGCCGGGGGCTGCAGGAGGAGATGAGGAAGTGGGTATAATCAGGATACTTTGGGCTAAGTAATCACCAGGACTCGCTAAGGCACTGAATCTCAGGAGGGGATCCTTGAGAGAGGAAGCAACAAGACTTCAAAGAGCCTTTCAGCTTTCAGGATTGAAGATGATTGTTTTTGAAAATTCACAATAAACATATCCTGCTATTTTTAAGCATTTACTAATGGGGATTCAACAGTGATAAAAGAAATATTTCATTTCCACGTGTCCTTAGTACTTTGATTTCTTCAAGACTGCTTATTAATTTAGTTATCTTATGTACATTTTGATATTTTAGTAGGCTATTAAATAAAATTTTTTGTCTTTAAGGCAGAGAAAGGCCTGCTTGCTTTTTATATTTAGATTGCTACCCAGTATAGAATATATTTTATGAGATATTACATTTTATTTAGGTAAAATTAGTCATATAACATACAAATATGTTAGAATTGATTTTAAACAGTTATTTACAATGGTTCATTTGAGGAGAATAATCATTCAAAAGTCTTTGCTTTTAATATTCATGTCAACTTAAAATAAATGAAAAGAATAGATCCAGGACAAGGTATTTTTGTTACAGGTAAGTTCATCATAAAGTCTTAAATTTGTTCATTCTAGTAAGGATTGTGGGTTTCCTCAATATGTAAAATATAGGACTCTCCTAAGTTTGACATAGTGAACACATTTGCTGCCTTTCAAATTTTATTGTCTTGAGATACCAATGATTTCACTTACCTTTCCACAAAAATTCCAGCTTGAACAGCATGTACAATGCTCCGAAATTTTGGTTTTTCCTCAGGTTTCTTTTTTGTCATCCCCATTTTCCGTGTAAAGGTAGAAGCCAACCAGTCTCGGACTTCCGATGGGACTGCATCAGACTGAATGTCACAGAGCTCATCATCAGTATCCAGCAGCCGTCTACAAAAATTTATGCAGATTAAACATTAGAAAAAAGTGAAGGAAAACTAATAATAAAAATAAGCATTGCAATGGGATTTAAAATACAGTGAATTACTCCCTTATTATTCTTTAATAGGAACTATTTAAAGAAAGAAAAAAAATTGTGTTAACATTTGAAAAGTTCTTAATTTCTCAAATTGATCATCTTTTGAAGGCAAGAACTAATAGGCTTAAGCATTTGCAGCTTTCAGTACAATGATACCAGTCTAGAGGTATCGATTGTGATAATGAATAAAACTAAAAGATGGGGAAGAGAATCCATAAACACGTCTGCTACTAAAGGAAGCAACTGAAGTAGAAGGCAAAAGGGAAATTGAATCTATAATAGCTGTCACATATTTAATAATCTTATATACATAATACGGATAGTACATTCTATTTGAATGAGGCTTTGGAATTTACAATAAGTCATTCGCAGGTGCTATTTTATTGTGTAAGTATTTCTAAATTTTAGGAAAATAATACTTTAAGTACTCTAAAAGATAATCATTCTGATATTAACATTGATGATTAAAAAAGTTAAAAGATGAAAACATTTGAAAATAAATGGATTATTTCAAAAGCTCATTTCAGGTGACCAAGCCTGTTTAAGTGGAAGAGACATCTCCAGTTCAGAGAAAATGCTGTCTTGAGGGTGGAGAGCTGATGGGTTTAGAACTAACTGCTGGACAAGGAAGCCAGCCTAGTAGTGAGGCAGTGAACAGGAACTGGAACCACTAGCACACTCCTGTAAAAACCCCAGGTAGACCGGACTGACCAGTAATAACAGAGGCCATTAAAGCAGGAAAGGAAACATCCTTACTTTAAGGCCGCTCAGCTTCAGTAATCAAGAACTTTCTAAAGGTCTGAACTGGCAAGATCCTGTAAAAGGCTCCCCACCAAATACAAAAACGGCTTTCCAGAGCTGTCAAGCCTTGCCTCCAGGAAGAACACAAGTCAGATCTGCCTGTCATTTGAGAGTCATTCTTTCCTTGTCAGTGCACCAATTTAAGAACTCAGAGGTCTTTTGGGCATATTTTAGCTTTGACCTGTGGGTTTCATGTGCTTTGGTAAATCTCTTTGCACAGAATGAGGCCTAAGGATTACGAACCAGCGGAGGGAAGGTAGCCAGAGGTAGCTGCCCATGCTAAAACCTCAGGGACAAGTCACAGGCCATCTCCAGAAGGCAGGAACAAAACGAAATGGCAAAAAACAGGAGGCCCACCCAAAGCACCCAATAAGACCAAGACCAAAGAGAGGCTCAAAAGATAATATGCAGAAGAGTAAATCTTAATGTCCCTTTAAAATTTAAAGTTTAAATGACCTCCCATATGTTCTGCTGTTTTTTATAAATATGCAGAAGACAGTCATTTACAAATATTTATTTTTCATGGTATTAAGCACGAATGCATTTATGAGATAACTTATAAAAAAATAAACATAAATGCTGGAGTTACAAAGCTAAATGTATACATATGAAGATAAAAAAGATTTACAGAGTTGGATGTTAATACTGATTAATACTTACTGTATAATAGTTTTAACTTTGTTTTGGGTCTTAGATTTCAATACTTTTGGTTTACCCTTACAACGCTGAAATAGAAAATTAAAGCACAATATATTTTTTTCCTTTTTGTCCATTTTACATTAGATTCCTTAGCCCATTTCAGCAAGTTACTAAACTACATGGCTTGAAAATTTCACTACTTTAAAGATGATGCCATATCTATTACTCTTATGCAGTGACCAAATAAAACTACAGAGCAGGACAGTTGGGATAGGAATCATTGTGGTGTAATCCTGTGATGTCACCGTGCTCCAAGCATTCCACTGCTGCCTTGTTTTATCAGCAAATCTGAGTGGCACGACAGGCACGCTGTAATGGTTGCCAACTGCTCCACAGCAAATTTGAGGGCGTATATCCTAAACTCATAAATTATCCAAGACGGATCATCAAACATGACGAAATCAGCACACGGAAATGACAGTTCACACAGAGGTATGGTACTCAGGAGACTAATAATCCTTAGTCATGATATATGAGGTCATTTACTGAGAAGGAAAGAGTATATAATCTCAGGGGGAAACAATGATATGGATTAATTAGCGGATAGGAATAAAGGAAGAGAAAGTGTAAAGAGAAAAGTATGAAATATGCTATTGTATAACTTAAAAAGAGAATCTTGAAAAAGCAACAAATACCTCTGTGATGTTTAATTTTATGTGTCAGCTTGGCTAGGATATGGTGCCCGGGTGTTTGGTCAAACATCAGTCTACTTTCTTTGTTGTGAAAGTATTTTTTAGATGTGATTAACATTTAAATCAATAAACTTTGAATATAGCAGATTACTCTCCAAATTATGGGTGGGCTTCATCCAATCAGTTGAAGGCTTTAAGAAAAGAGGTCTCCCAAAGAGGAAGGAATTCTGTTTCCAGATTGCATTTGGACTCAAGACCGAGACATTGACTCCTGCCAGAATTTTCAGCCTGCCAGTCTGCCTTGCAGATTTCAGACTTGCCAGCCCTTAATAATCACATGAGCCAATTCCTTAAAATAAATCTCTCCCTCATCTCTCTCTTTCAATTTCTGTGTGTGTGTGTGTGTGTGTGTGTGTGTGTGTGTGTATGTGTGTACGTGTGCGTGTGTATATGTATCCTATTGGTTTGGATAAGAAAGAATAGTTCCACTCACTTATGAACACTCTATGGTAACTACCAGTATGGATTATAAATAAGATAGAAGATAAAAGCTCAG